ACTTTCCCTGTGGATGTTCATACGTGTAGGCTTTTGTCGACCAGGTGTTGAGGCCGCACATTTTGTGCTGTGCAAGTAAACGCATCAGCTGTTCTCTGTCTCTAGCCACTTCTGGTTGCTGCCCACCCGCATGGATTCCGAAACCCGTTACACCCGGCTCCTGCCTAAGAACAGCATTGAAGTCTCCCGCCAGCACCACCATGGATCTCCATGGCAGCGAACTCAATAGTCTATCCAGCTCTGTCCAGAAGGAGGCACGTTTCTGCGTCAAGATTTGATTCTGCTCAGCAGTTTTGACACTCCAAGCGTGTTGATAGAGGTTCACAATGTCCACCTGTTGGTCCTCAATTACACACCTGACCATCAATAAACGTCCTGGAACCGGATCCTTCCATCTGATCAGCTTGCCGTCTGCAATCGTTTCTTTGACTGCGACAAGTAGCCCGCCACTGCGTGGTTTCACGCACGCACTGTGCACAAAGTACCAGCCGTTGCGCCTCCACTCATTTGTGAAACCCCAATGCGTCTCTTGCAGCATCACAATCGATAGATTGGTCTGGGTTTTCATCCAGCAGAGTAGTTCCTGATACAGCTGTTCGCTTAGTCCCGAGCAGTTCCACGAGAACACCTCCAGTCTAGGACCCTTGGGTTTGGGAGGAGGAGTGGGTTTGGTGATCACAACCGGCACAAAATCTCTGCGTACGTATATAATGTGGCCCTTGTATTTCGCATGTCCTTCCCTGGCCGCACGCCGTAGCGCGCGCATGTATGCTCGCTTCTTGATCCTGTCAGCAGAACTGCGTAATCTGCTGGGCTGTGTGTCCTCATACTTTGCAGACTCCGAAGAGCCGGCTTCAGGCGTGCGTGAGGCCGCATCGCCAACCCTCGCGCCGATGGAATTAGGCCGTCCGCCTAGTAGGCCTTGTTGTGATTTCCATCCCCGGATTTGGGACCGGGATGAGCTGTAGGTCCTGCTGCCTTGTATCTCCAACCCAGGTGGAGTCCCCCATGTACATTGCGGTAGAAACTTATGTTGCTCAAGATACGCAGAACCTTCGAATAGTGGAGAGGTGGATAGTCCATGAAATACATGAAAACCCATTTCACCCGCAATAGTCAGAGACCTCGCTCAAGCAAAAGCACAGATATCCAGTCCGCTCTTACAGTCCTTGCAGCGAAGAGTGTACACTCCTCTCTGACTAGCACCGAGCAGCAGCGTCGATCAGGTTTGCACGTTAGCGTCTCTCCGATGGTCTTCAGCCGTTGCTTCGGAGCGCTCACTGCCAGATACGTCTTGTTCGAGCTGAGCAAATTCTGCTGGTAAAGTAAAACGGCAGAACCAGATGTGCAGATGACAGGCTCTCCATGAACCCCCTCAAACTACTTTGAACCGCTCACGGCGCTTAGTAGTAGTAGTAGTAGTAGTAGTAGTATACGTACGTACGTACGTACGTACGTAATAGTAATAGGACTAGGAGTAGGAGTATCAGTGGTAGTAATAGTAGTAGTAGTAGTAGTAGTAGTAGTAGTAACTAGTAGTAGTAGTAGTAGTAGTAGTAGTAGTAGTATGAGTCTTATTTGTACTACTGGTATAATTAGTCTGTGAAGCTTGCTTCAAGCTGTCGCCTAAAATTCAGCAGGCCAGGCAGGAGAACTTGCCTTTGCCACGTCCACCACTTAAGTGAGCCTATCCCCTAAGATTCGCAAAGCCCCCAGCCCGGCAATCAACTGACACCCCAAGCACTAGAAAAAAGACTCTTTGCACTCTGCCTGAGCCTTCAAGCCTACCTGGAGCAAAGGCTGGCATGGCCGCAACGCGTTCCGACAAGGCCACTGTATCCCCTTTCCCACCCCCCCCGTCCCTCCCAAATCTGCCGTCATGGCTTTTAGGGGCTGGCTCCACTATCGAAAGGAGCTGTCGTTTTCACGTACCAAAGTGGAAGTCGTCCGCACGCATGCATGAGACGTTGAGCCACGGCACCGCTTGAAACCCGACCCAAAACATTGAGTTCCGAAACTCAGAATCCCTGAGCGGACCCCCCGTTTCGGAGAGGATGCCCTGCCCAAGTGAGTTGACGTTGAGAGCAGGTGAGGTCGGCGACGAGAGATGTTTGTCGGGACTTCGTGTTACATGTTTCAGCGCTAACAAAAGCTGAAATAGAAGATGGCGATGCAGACGACCAGTGTTGCCTTTTAAGCTTGAATGAAGCATGCGTTGAAACCTGATGAAAACCTGTTTTGGCAGATTGGTGATGCTGCTCGCGGGGTTGGCTCCATGGCACTCAAAGGCGTCGACAAGGCCGTTTAAGAAGATTGACATCCACCTTGGGGATGATTCTCCTTTGCAGCACATGGCGTTCTCAGGACACATTGGCTGTATTAAGTCTTTTTGCGAGAAGCCTCCCCAGTGGTGACAGCTGTGTCCCTTTAATCTGCAGATTGTGATATGGTAGATGAGGCATCGTAGTTATTTCAGCTCTCGTGTATTCGTTGCTGTTGCCGCGGTGTTCTGCCCGTTGTATTTATGATCGCATTCGTGCTGTAGGTGCAATACATTAGCCGTCGTCGTTGTCGCAGCGCTACGTTACATCCGAACGGCACGGCAGTTGCAGTCACAGCTCGTCGCAGCAGTGAAGAGAGGCACTTGCACAGTTACTGGGGAGCGAGTCGCGAGGGTTATTGAGTTCTTTGGGCCGGGGAGATTGCCGTCAGTTTCCACATGCTGCAGCCTGTAACGTTAGGATTCGGCTCCTTGGGTCCGACATAGTTCTCCACCCACGGCGGGGCTGCCAGATCGTATGGACAGATGGTAGCAGCCAGAAGCTCAGGCACCCGAATGCTCCGAAAACAGCTTCTGCACGCACCAATAGCAGCTACACCCAAAGCAACTTGAGCAGTGGAGGTCTTAGGCCTTGGAGTCCGGAAAAATTTTTCCGGGCACCACTAGCAGCCTGTGGAGGTGTCAAACTGCCTGAACCCCTACTAACCCTCCTCCTTAAACCTGAGAGGGCTTGTGGGTGTAGTGCTCCGGGTTTATAGTGTAGAGCAGGGTTTAGTCGGCATACACGGGTCGTAAATACAAGGACAACTTTGCAACAAGTTTCTACACCAAACCGAAATATGGGTGTCACCACTTGGGGACAGGGTGGAAATGATAATTGCCTTTGTTCGTCTATATTCCCTGGGCAAGAAGCGGCTGAAATCCTTGAAGCCTCTTTGGTGTGTGTTTCTCGGGTTGGTCAACAGGCACGTGAGATCGACCGCGAGCACGACCTCACAGGAAAGATGATGCACGCTGGGACAAAGGCCGCGGTACAGCTAGTTCTTGATTTGCTGGGATTCGGGTTCCGGAGTCTTTGTGCTAGATGAAGAACACGAGCCACTGTGCCATCCCCGTCTTCACCAAAGCCGAAAAGAGTCTCGCTTGCCTGAGCCTGCCTAGCAGCAGGCTGTCGAAACGGCATGCACCATCAATCAGCAGTACGGCATCATGGACAAGGCGGGCGGGTGCCTGTGCTAGAGAAGCGGCTCTGGACTTGAGGCCTGGCAGATTTTGTGGGTCCGTGCGCACCCCACTACCTCGCCATCCGAAGCGTCGACTTCAATTCCGGACGCGTCTTGTGCAAGTGTTCGCGAAAAGCCACCATCAGCCCAACTGGATCACGAGGAATCTGGGGCTTTCCCGAAAGTGCGCGTCGTGTCCCAGAGCGATCCAAGCTTCACGCCAAGTCTCAGCACGAATATCGACAGGCGGTAGTTTGATTCTTGGCAAGTGACGTGGATGCTGCAAGCAGAGCCCCATCGGAGAGTGTAGGTCGTTGGAACCCAAAGCTCTGAACCACAGCTGCCTAGCAATCCCAAGCGAAGCGAAGCCTTGCCAGCCTTGCCTTGTGGAGGTGTCCAAAGGCATGTCCGCTGCAGTGGCCAAGGTGGCTCTTACGGGGTGCTTGCTCTGGGACCCTCGGCAAGTGCTGCCACGACTTCGGTGGTCACTTTCGCTTTGTGCGCACGCTGTAAGATCGTCTATCTCAGGGTCCAGGTGTGCTTGCAGCATGCTGCTGGTACTGCAACTTGAAGCATCAGCGCAGCAATGCAAGCGCTGAATGCACTGATCCATCGAATTGTCCTGATGCAATTTAGGCATGTTTGCGGCCGTTTCGTGAACGAGGGCTTGAAACGGGTTGCGTCTCGACGCCGCTGACAGCATTCGCCATGTGTGATCCTGCATTGTTCTCGTCATTTTCTGCTCAGCGGCAGGTGTGAGCCACAAGTGCTTTCAGTGTAATTGGCCAAGAAGCTGTACTTTTAAGCATTGCTCTCGTTTTTTAATCGCGTCGATAGGTGATCCTGCATTGTGAGCCTGCGCGGCGTGGGCAGCAAAGGCCTACGAAAGCGGTGCTCGTGATGATTCACTGGTCTTCGAAGGCAGTCGAGGGAGCAACAAGGCCATCATCAGGATGTGTCGTCCAGGAAAGCCCCTGATAGCCTTCCGAGGCACACCAAGACGTGGAAAACGGACTGAAGGATATGGCTGCTGTCGCGACCAACTTTGAGGTCTCCCAGCCGGGCGTTGCACCCGTGACCGTGCAAGTGGCCGCAGGCTTTGGCCACCTGGAAGCCGACTGACTTGGCAAACACCGTGAGCGTGCATAGTACCGTAGGCACCACGTGGCTCGTCACTGGACATTCCTCAGGCGGGGCTGTGGCCGTACTCTTCGCAGTATTCTGCGTGAAGAATGGACAGCGTGTAAAGCTCGTTACATTTGGAGCTCCTCATGTAGGCTGCTCGCTATCAGCTGCCATGGTGGTACGCATGCGGAAATCTGGAGTGTTGTAATGTGACAGACTTGTCAATGCCGCTGATCCGGTGCCGCATTTGTTGCAGCGCCACACAGGTTGACTTTGGGTGACTGTGGCTTTCTTATCCTGCACACCTTCATGGACTGTGTTACAAGTTGTAAATAGGCGTCCATGCTGTGGTCTAAAACCAATGTCTTTCGATGCCCCTCGCACACAGCAGTTCACAATGTCTTTCGATGCCCCTCGCACACAGCAGTTCACAACTGCTGTGCGCAAGACAGGTTGGCGTTGTGCTTCGACAGTCGTCAGTTTTAGACCACAGCATGGACACCTATTTGGACAGTTCTCATCCAGATACTGCAGAAGCCCGAGCCGTGTCCAGGGTCGTTGCAGAGCTTATTGGTGTACAGCTCTCGAGGGAGATTGTGCGCTGGGTGAGGTGTTTTCTAAGCTTGGGCAAGGCTAAGGCTCGAATCTCACTCTGCGGCCACCAGCGCTGGCTTGATCGCCCTGGAGACGCCCATCGCCGATGCCCTCAAGAGCACACGAGCCGAGGCCCACAAGAGAAGATGCAGACGCTTGTGGCAGGTGCACAGGACGAGCAGTCTTTCACTGGCTCGCGGCTCTGTGCAGATGCTCAGTCGCATTCGACTACAAGTTGTAGGCTACGATTTTCAGCTTCGTGGCCGATTGCTTTGACCAAATCATGACCAAATCAAAGCCTGGTGTGGTCCGGTTGCATTTCGGGCACGGACTGCGCTCGAAGTCTCTTCGGTGCCAGGCAGGTTGTGTTGCTGCTGGAGCAGTTGTCGGGGCTTTTGCAATGTTTGGTCCTTTGATTTTCTTTGCCTCAGCTGTCGCCGAGCTTGTAGGCGCAACTGCTGGTGGAGCTGCAGGCACCTGGGCAGGGAAGAAGTTGGGAGGTTGGTACCAAGAGTTCTTTGGTGGAGGGATTGCTGGCCGTCTACCCGGAGCTTGGCATCCCAACCAAAAGAGATTCGGAAGGCTTGCAGAAACTTGGCAAAACAGCGCCACCCGGATAAGGGCAGCAGCAAAAAATGTTTCCAGCAGCCGCGCACACGGCCGATCGGAGTCGTGCGGTGCCAGCCGACATTCTGGTTCCTCTGAGATGAATTCTGAAGAGATCAGGACGCGTGGGACATTGGGGCCGAACTCTCCCACGGTCAAAAGACGGCAGTTCACAACTTTGCTCGGCTTCCCGACTACGTGCAAGTACGCAAGAGGAAGTGGCTGCAAGGAATCTTCCTGGAGGAAAAGATGAGGCAGGCGTCCCTGAAGAAAGACGTACACAAGGCGACCTTGAACGTGCAGGAGGGCTGTTCGAAGGAGGAGGAATACAAACGACTACAGGAAGCTCTCGGCCAAGTATCACCCGGACAAGCAGTCAGTGTCGAAGGTGGCATCTGAGCAAGCCCTCAAGAGGCTGACGCATCTTTACCAGAAGATCAGGGAAGATGTCACTGAGGCGGTAGATTTTGGAGACTCCGACAGCGTCACCCAGGAGACCTGTTGCACCTCTGAGACGTCGAACGATGGCCCGTCTAGCAGTCAGGACGAGGCCGAAGCTCTGAGTCGTGGCTACAGCTACAGGAACACTATGGCAGGATACTCCGTTGCAATATTGTCAACTTACAAGCTGAGCTACATGCCCGGCTTTTTGACATCCCGGGTATCAACAGTGCGACGTGAGAACTGCGTCTGCTTGCAGCATCCGCACAGGAAAGCGAGGCTGCATCCAGGTTGGAGCCACGTTGAATGTGGTCCGACCCTTGTCGATATGATCTGCGTGTAGCTGCGACAGGCGGCCTTGCACCTCGCAGTAAGAGGACCGAAGACACCGCAGTAAAGGCAAAACCGTCGCCGCGTCTTGCATCAGGTTGTGCGAGATGACTGCCACCACGTCTGCGAAGCGTTGTCTTCGCTTCCAAGCACTTGTGGTTTGATTTTTGCCAGTGTTTCCAAGCAGAAAGTCACGAATTTCTGCTCTGATCTTTTTCAAAAAGCCTCTCAGCGCCAGGCACACGATGTGGAAGAGAAGCACCACGTCACCTCCAAGGTGTGCGCTGATCGTACAGATTTGAGCACTTGTAGCCGAAGTACGGGGTGTCGATCGCAGATACCCGGAGCTGCCGGTAGCGGGAGTTTGGACGGGAGCCTTACACTAGAAGCCTTCTCACAGTCTCTTTAGAGATCTATTGGTTCCTGAAGCCCCGGGCTTTTCCAAAAACGATCCACGCAAGAGCCTTTGCCTTGGGCTTCGCCGCTTCGCAGGTCGCTTCCGGGTTCTCCCTGGGCCTCTCCAAAGCCGCCCAGGGCTTCGAGAAGCTCACCGAGGCGAACTTGGGCTAGTGCTTTTCTGAAGAGGATTTTCGGCTTTGGGGGGTCCACGCTTACGGGGTGCCAGAATGAAGGCACAGGACATGGGGCTGAGTTGGTGTTTAGTGCTCGGGGCCCAGATCAGTACTAGGGCTTCCTTACTGCGGGTGTTCTTGGTTCGGGGGCTCTTCGGGCGGAGGTTTCGGGATTTGGCATGTTCGTGTACTTGCATTTAATTCTAGGCCTGACTCATCTTCAGCGACGATACCGAAGCCGTCGCACAAGTTGGTGGACCGTACCGTGCAGAAGGTTGTACAGCCTGCATGGGCTGAAAATGAGAGCCACTCGTTGCTCTGCAGACAGACCGGTAGGGAAACCTGGCTTTACACATCCGGCCACATCTTCGTCTCGTCTCTGCGTGAGTCCAGAGCAGGGCGCAGGGCCCGCCACGAATCGGCTCCCCCAAAGTCAGGCGGTTCCAAGCCGACTACAGGATCTTGACCAGGCAATAATCCGCCGCTTAACTTCCGAGGCATGAAAATGTGCTCCAGCAGAGCTCGTTACAGCTCAGGCCGCTTCTTCTGGCCGGCGCCCGTCTCAAGGCGGCGGGCTCCACGGGTTCTACGTGGCCTCAGGATGACCTCTCGAGATGGTTCCGTGCAAGCCAATTAAAAGCCCAAGCAACGTCCAATGCAGCAACCGAATCCCCTAAAGATGTCGCCGCAAAAAATCTGTCGCAGCTGGGAGGTGGAACTGGACATGCCAGCAGCGCTTAATGGCCACTGACGGGCTGTCATCAGTTTAAGCACAGCAGTAGCATTCAAACATCGGGCCACCCTTTTGATTCAAAGGATCACAGAAGTCTCAGCATTTGGACCTGCGTTAGTAGCCGATCTTCAGGCTGAACTTCTCGTGTTGCACATCACTCCATGGCCCTCTTAAGGCGAATACTTGTCACACCGATGTTGTCCTGCAGCGACTGGGAAAGATGGGCGGTGCCGCAGGTAAGCTTTTGTGGAGATACGTACTTTATCGAAGCTTTTGTACCAATACCAAGCTAGGCCCTGGTTTGCGAGCTACGAACGGAGACGTTGCACAAGCTAAGCTTGGCTGTACAGTGCTGCTTGTCACACGCAGTGGCTGTTGATCAGGCGCCTTAGATCTCGGAATGAGAACGAGCGTTTTCATCTTCACGTCCGCCCCAGGCTAGATCAGGCAGCGTCGTAATCAATGCATAGATCTTTCAGAAGGCAGCCCTTGGAAAGATCTATGAATCTATATCTCTATATCCCAAACACGAATCTTCTTAGGATAGGTTGTAGTTTCTTTTCCAGATCAGCTCGGTTGTGAAGAAGTCTCCCCATCCATAAGGTTCCTGCTCACCTGCGATGCGGGAAGTAGAGCTAGACTAGACCCTGGGGTTCGAACCTCTCCTCGGGCCCTTACTAAGCCTTCGTGAGGCTCATTAGAGTGACCAGGGATCTTGGACTTCGAGGTTGTTGGCATGGTCAACACCACGTCTCTCGGCAATGCTCACATGCGAGAGCGCATCAACGAAGCCGTGGAAAAGTCTCCGAACATGCTGCTTTGCTTTCAGATGTCCCAAGTGCCGACGTGTTCAGGGCCGTGCGATCAGCCGCCGTGGAGCATGACGAGTGAGTTTCTGGTGTTCGTCGCTGACAGGCCTGTTGTCCTAGTCCTGGCAGAAATGCTGCCGCGGGGCCTGACTTCAACTGGGGCCTGTCGCAAGGACACGGCATTATGACGGTATTTCTCCGATGGCGTACAATCGTTACCGTTTGTCGCACGCTGCAGGGCTGGAGCTCGAGACTCTGTCGGCAGATGTCTTGAGTTTACTCTATTTGTACCAAAAAGCATGTCAGATGGATTTCCGATGTTTGACTGTCACGCTTTGTGTTTCAGGCTTAAGCGTCAGTACGAGCAATGAGTCATCTTGAGAATAAGACTACGAATAAAGAAAAAGAAGGCATACTATATGGCAAACAGAGAATGCTGCGTCGAAGCTCCTGCATGCCTCGTTCATGTAGGCCATTCACCCGAGCCTAACCAGACAAACATCGGGGTACCAGCCAAGAGCATCTGGGGTCGGACTTGGCCTCCTGAGCACAACTCACTCCCACCACTCACCACTTTGTGCCGAATGGCCCTTTGTCAGTGCTGTTTGGTCGCGGAGACAGGCGACGGGTATGATGACGTCAAGGAAAATATGTCAATTTAGTTGGCTGTGACATCAGCAGGACATGTGTGTGGCATCATTCTTGTTGGCACTGTGGCTGTTGTTTCCATCATGGCGAGCTACTCTCGCGTTGAACAAGTGGCATCTTGGTTCATTTATTGGGCATGCTTGGTGCATGTTTCACATGTCACTGCTGCCTTGTAGCTGCAGGCTCCAAAGTCGAGTCTGCCTCTTGAGACCCAGGCTCCGAGCTTAGAAAGTATGATTTTACTGGGGGAAGGGGGCGTCGAGAGCCGCTTTCGCAGACATGCAGAGCGAATGTGCGACGGTAAAGACTGCAACAGGGGGCACCTGTGGTGAAGCCGAACGGACATGACTAAATTGCTTTACGCACACCAAGCGCAGCGGCCCGGAGAATGCAAGCCAGACCTTGCCAGGGCCAACACTTTTGACCGGCGCCAATGCCGGAGGCGGCTCGATGAGATGCAGAAAGGGTCCTTTGGGAGAGATGCGCGCTCTCGTCCCATCTCTAAGCCTCACCCCTTTCGCGGATGGCTCCCCTGCTTTGTAACGTGGATAGGACTTTGAACACTTGCGTGCGCCAAGGTTCGAAAGGGGGATTGCGGGGACCTTCACGTTTAGCCTCCTTGCGCAGGCTCGCAGGGTGGCGCCGGCACCCGACCGGCAGGCCAGCGCTGGCTGACCCCCAAGGGCTTGGAGCGCTTGCCAGGTTTTGGTCCAAAAGGGCGTGAGAAATGTGGGGATTCTGCGGTCTCCTTCCTCTGTTCTGTTGTGGCGTTGTTCTAGACGTGTGCAGCGACTTTGACCTCAGTCCCAAACTCCTCCCCTGCCGAAGGATCGCTCGCCACGCACGATTACGATGACAAGGCTCTGCGCCCAGCAGAGAAGCTGCTGGAGGGGCGGTAAAGCCGCTTACGATTCCGATTCCTACAAGCCTGGCAAAAAAACGAGTCGTGCACTTCCGCTGTTCTCCTTGCAAACTCTCGGCGGCCCCAAAACACCTCTGAGCTTCCAAGCAGCTTCTGTCCTGCAGCTGGGTTTCCTCAGACGTCATGAGAGACCATACGGAAGAACTAGCCGAAGAATGGGGTCATGATCGGACTTCACGAAGGCTTTTCTGTGGCAGGCCGCATCAACACTTCACAACACAAACTGAGGGATGGATGCCGCCCACTCATTGCCTGACATTTTGCATTATGATGTTTCAGGACGTCACACATGTTGGCTTTGACAGCCTGGAACACGATCAGGTCCCGGGAATCGGCCGGAACGGCGAAAGCCTCGCCACCTCCCAGAGGCCCTGTGCTGAAGATTCGATGTTGGCGTTATACTTCGGATTCGGATGACCTTCTTGTTTCAGGAGTGTACTTCATCCTTACCCGCAGCCCGAAAACTGTGCTTTTGCCTTGAGCCGCTCAGGGTTCCTGTTAGGGTTTTGAGCTCTGCGCATCTAGTGTCTAGAGTCTAGAGTCTAAGTGTTAATTAACACCCTGAAGCCTAGACCTTCTTCGATTTGCATTTTCGAGGTGGCGGTCAGTGCTGAGGTTAGTGGAAGGGGCGGGATTTCCTAGTCTCAAACCTACGGCGTCCAAGCCATGCATGCTAAAGCACACGATCGAAACCAAGCAAAACCCTCTTCTCATGATCTAAGCTGCTGATTGAGCTGAATCTTCATGTCCGGTGCAGCCGTACACTCCTAGGCATCACTGCACACGGTTTATGAAATCATAGCAGGCGTTCGCCGCAACGAAGGCCGACCACCGTCAATCGAGAAGCACCCAGCCCTCCTGACCACAGGCACTCTCTCCGCGCTGGATGCAACGCAGGTCTGGGTTTGCTGTTTCGGACTTCGGGAGCACAGTCAGTCGGACCGCAGACATGGAATGTCGTGTGAGCCCGAACTGGTACCATCTGGCCGGATCTTGAATGTCTCAGTGTTTGAACTTGCGAGCGTCGTGGAGGTTAGAGTTTACAGCTAGCTCTGTGGCGAACGTTGTGCCCAAACCGAAAAGACCAGCCCTGGAACATCCAAGATGCCCTGCTTCAGAAGCAGGCGCGCTCGCGGGAAGAAGATGTGCGGCCCATGCAGGCAGGTTGAGATCGCAAAAAGGGCTGCATCCGGCGATTCACATTTGGAGGGAAGCAGAGGAACTCCTCCGAAGAACCTGCCGAAAGAAAGGGCAAAACAACAACAGAAAACTGGCGGTTGGGCTGTGCTACCTTTGGCAGCTGTCGTCGTCGCCGTTGTTTTTTGATCCAGCGCCAGGTGCTGCCATGTCTTCCGGTTCAGGAGCTTCGATCTGCAATTCAGCCCCTTGCGCACCACCAGCTGCCACCCGAAAGCCGGTGCAGCCGCGAGGCGAGAGAGTCCAACAGTTCTGCAAGGGGGGAATCACTAGTGCCTACACCCGTGACGTACGAAGCACGTCCTCGTTTCCAGGAAAGTTGGTGATGGATGCTTTGCACGAATGTAAGCAGGTTTCAGTACGAACGCGGTGACCACAACAGCCAGATCTAGGAGCCCCAACAAATTGGTCAAATCAAGCGACGCAACACACGATTTGAATAAAATTATGCTAAAAAGTAGCGATCAAGTTGACGGTGGGCTTAGATGCGAGTAGAGTGAGTGCACTGCAGAATGTGGGATGCTGTGACCTGCCGTGCTGTAGCAACTCGATAAGAAGATCAACCAAGACGACATACCACAAGAGCGTGACCTCGAATCATTGATGCGCGTGGAACCTTGATGACAAGCAAACACTCACAAAACTTTGGTGTGGAGCAGCATGAGTTGACGTCCAGAAGTGTGAGTGCCCGATTGACAGGCTGCTGACGTGCTTTCTCCTCATGGTTCTCTCAGTGCCCAGAACATGCTGGTCCAGGACACACCGCCTTCCTACTCGCGAAGATCAGAAGGTCCTAGCAATTCGAGCATTCGAACCGTAAACCCCGCAAGCCCTGAAGCCTTCAAAGTCTCTGAACCCCAGCAGCACCTCAGAAAGCGCTGAGCCCGACAGCCGGTAAAGCCGTGAAGCTTCAAGCCGGGAGCCCGTCGTCCCTCGCAGGGAAACACCGCCAGCTCCTCGCGTGCCACGGGCGCAGTGCAGGCGGCCTTGACGGGGTTCGACAGAAGTGTTGGACTGTTGGAAAAGAAAAGGACCTCACTGACGAGAAGAAAGCGTGATGACGAGTGCAACAACTAACGAAAGTGGGAGTTTGACTGCAGCATTCCTGCTGTACACAATATCGGTTCGGCTCCCCTTGGACGCATGTGGGGATAATCGGCGTTGTCTTCTATGGGCCAGGCCTCAAAAGCTAAGTCGCTGGTTGGCTATTGGCGCCTTGGGGGGCATGCAGGGGACTACGTTCGCAGGGTTGGCGAGTTTAAGATCTTGCCCGCTTTGATGTTCGTGTACTTGGGCTTATCAAAGGTTCAGAAACTTGCAGCCTCGCTCGGATCACCCTTGTGCCTTGTGGACTGTTGGGCTTGAGATGTGTCGGGCTGCAGAAGCTTGTCTCGGGAGTCACAACTTGGCTTGGTTGTGCGTAGGCTCAGGGCATTATCAAGGAGCTTTGCAGACCCGCTGCTCCATCTTCCAGCCCGAAAGCACCTGCGAATTTAAGAGACTGACCAGCATTTGAGAAAGATTTAAGCCCGGGCCTTTTGCCCTATGGCCCTGTTAAAGCTGACGTGCCCGAATCCCATCGGCCTGCAGACTTTGACCAGACAAAGCCCTGGCTGGAGGCACCGAAACAGGCGCCGCACTCGCGTCGTGCGAGCACGGAGGCAGACAGGGGCCGTTCAGAGGCGAAGCTCTAGCTGCTTAAGGCTTATTTGCTCCGGGGAGCGGGGGGGGAAGCTGGAGTATTGGCTGCGGGTTCGGGATTAGCCGTCGTTCTTGGCGATGTTGATGCGGAAAGGGGTCGTGTGAGGGCATAGTTACAGCAAGGCATGTGGTTCCTGCACCGTTCAAACATAGTTGGTTAGTGTTCAGCATGACAGGACATCCTTGCAAAGTCCAGTGCTTTTAACCGACACGGTGACAGCAACAACTACAGAGTAGAAGATCGGTCACGGGACGAAGTGTTGGCCAATTCAGCTCGCCTGACTGTCTGCCTGTAGGTTCATTGTGGCATCATGAAGCTGGGCCCCCGCCTTTCTTACATGTCAATAAGAGGCCGTGCCGGGCGGATCGCCGGGCAAGGCAACCCCAGCCTCTGCAGAGGCAGGATGGGCGGTTTCCAAACAGGTGTTGGCTGAGTGCAGTTCGGCACGATTCGCTACCTTAGACTTGGTGCTTTTGCTCGCGGAGCCTGGCTGTTCGGCTGTCGGAGTAATGCGGACTCCTGGATGGAGTGTTGATTATTGATGGGTCTCTAGAGGACCCGAACACAACCACGGAGGCGAACGGAAGCAGAGTATGGATGGCTTCGTCGATTCGTTGTAGCCATTGTTCGGAGCCTTCGCTGCGGTAGTCCAGTGCAGAATTGCTAGCAGTCAGGAAGTTTTTGCCGACGGTCCTACTCCTGTTGCTTGACTTAAGTCTGCAGCCAAAACTGGGCCGGAGTCCATTGGTACCGTTTGAGTTAAGTCAGTGTAAAGTCAGGTTCAAGACTTGTTTCCGTTCTACTTGGACGACAAGCTGCTGGAGATGATGAAGCCGAGCGGTCCAAACTGCTCCGATCCCATGCGACTGGGCAAAACTAGTAGATGCATCATGATCACACTCTTCTAGAAACTAAGCAGGCCCAAGTAGGCATACTCGAGAGTTCGGGAGACCTGTTCTTGAAGAGTGCGTTTCTTCCAGGTGATGCATTCGTGTCCTTTGCCTTCGTCGTTTTTGCGCATCCGCCGCTATAATCACCTGCCAAAGTGTTACTGCCAGACAGACTTAGGAAGTTAGGATTGGGAAAAATGCTCTCATCATGTGCACGAGAGGGGGTAAAGTAGCAACAGTGCGAATGCTGTGGTCAGCCAGAGGCCGCGTCTGCCTCCCAGGGTTTGTTTCCTAGGGTTCGTCGACCCAAAGGACGGAAGTTTTGCTAGTCTGGTGGATTCATTGTGCAAGTAGATGTGACAGCAGCAAGAAGCGATAGGGGCGGAAGAATCAGAAGAGACTGTCATTGTAACGGCTAACACCATGTGGCCTCGACAGTCCAAGATGTTGGGGATCAACGTTGGCGAGTGCACGTTGAAGAAATGGCTGTTGATTTCGGAAGTAGTGACATTTGCTTGCCACGTGCTCCAAGCCCGCATAGCAGCAGTTCTGGTGTCCTCTTCGACCCCGCCTGCCCGGTTTGCAATGGCCTCCGTTGCCGTGCCGATGTTCATCTCATCCTTGGCATGCCTGACTCTTGACTCATTTCGGGGAGTTCGGGAGCCGAATTGAAGCTAATTACGCTCAGACATCAGCATAAGGCAAGCATACGGTTTACCCTATATCCTCATATTTGTTGAATTGAAGACAAGCTCTTCAGCAAGAGCCCAGGATTGGGCATGCCTGGGCTGGGGGACTGCGCGGTGATCTTCAAAACGCTACGGAGACGACGCCTCGAGCCGCAGCCGGAAGTTGCACTGCAGAAGACGAGAGCAAGATGCATGATTTCGGGCCTGGTTACGCAGAAGGCACCTTTCCCTTCGTCGTGTCATATTGCGAGAGGAAGAGCTGGAGCTTGGATGGTGGTTTCTACACCAAGGAGTTCGAAGCCTGTGTTATCTCACACACTGGCTTGACGCCGCCATGCGCTGCCTGCTTCTCTAAGTCCGCCGTCTACACCTACGAGAACTGTAAGTTTGCCTGCTGGTTCCATTCCTGGTGCGGCCGCGAATGCTTGCGCTGCGTGGAGGAGTCGGCTCCAGAGGTTAGGCAGTGCGCGGGAGTGGCAGTGCCCGGCGTGACCCCTTGCTGAGGGCACCCGATTTTGAGAGTCGGGTCCTCCGGATCCGGCTGACAAGGGCCATAGGGTCGTGGTGGTAGGATGCTGCCTGTAGCCGTACGGAAAGAGATGTCGATGCGACACCATCTCCAGCATCCTTCCCCCGCAAAGCTCACACGCCCAATTCAAAGTGTACAGTACAGATATACAGAGCGGAGGGAGGGGCCTTTGCCACCTCGCTCCACCTTGGGTTCGCGAGTTCCGCGTTCCTGGGGTCTTTTGGTGCCTTGCAAGGGGGATCCTGAACCACTGGAGCCCCTGGCCTGACTTGGAGGTCCATCGCTAATTCAATCCACAACGTCTTTGGGAACCCCAGCTGCAACGGACCTCCAAGCAGGAGGCCTTACAGAAAGTACGACCAAGCGCCGGATCAGAGGCCGATCGGCTGAAAGCGCCGACCCGTTCAAGCTTAACCAGACTCACCAACCAAGTCCTTCCCCGTTCAGTGCCTCAAACCTCTCTTACTGCGCAGACTTCTGTCCCTCAATCTTTGCTCACACCTTCGTGTCTCCTTTTTGTGGTTCGACGTATCTCGAGCACCTCAGGCTCTCGCTGAAGAGTCGGGTCTGCGAGGAGCCGGCAAGAACAGCCTGCTGCAACGGTGTCAGGCCGTGCGAGGTTCGAGGCCTTTGAGTTTTCGGTTCAGGTTGGGTGTGCAGTGTGAGTTGTTGAAGTCAGGGGCTGGAGAGCTTCGGGGCGGGGCCTGGGGTCTTGAACCCTACATCGGAAACTTAGTGTAGGAGAAGACTGCGGTTGCAAAGCCTGTAGATCTCTGCTCAAACCTTCAACAAACCATGACGGAGAGTCTGGGCTGGGCAGTGCTGTTTCGGGCTTGTGCACGTCTATGGGACAGAAGCAGTCTACGATCACATTTTGGGGTATACCGTAGCTTAGCCTTTCTACAGGCATACTCCTTCGTCTTTGGTTTGGTCCTTGGCACTTTCGTCTCGGATGAAGTTCTCTCCCACAGAGGAACCCGACCCCACAAGGAGCTCCGTGTGTTTGCCTTGCTACCCGACGCTGATTGCCATCACTGCAGAGGGAAGGACCGGATGGTCGCGAGTCACCACAAACTTGGCAAGGGACCGTCGAAGCTTACTGCTGTTTTCTATGTCTGCAGGACCGGCTGACGAACATCCCGGTCTTTAAGTCTGGTACGGCGCCGGACGTCCAAGTCCGCGTCCAGCTGGACACGAGCAGCCTCTGGCCCAAGGTCACCGGCATCCAGTGCAGTTGCGTGGCTCCTGGGCTTCGCTTAGCTTCCAAATTCCAAAGCCAAAAGACCCCCCAAGACGAGTCCGAAAAGTTGGGGGAAGTCACTCTTTTGCACGGAACCGCGGATTGATCTCTCCATAAAGGTTCCCGTCGACCCAGCCCAGGATGCTCGGAACGAGGGGTCCATGGCCTCTTGCCCCAAGGATGCTTCGCTGCCCGAGGCACAGCTGCGCTCCTTCCTCTGCCGCTTCAGAGAGTGTTGATGTCCAAGTCCTGGAAAACGCTCCAAGTTTGTCACCGCTGCGGAACCTTGAACCTGCAGCAGGCGCACCTCTACTGGCGGCAGCGTGTTCTCACCACCTCCGGCGATCCTCTGGGCCGGGCAAAGACGCTTCCACCACCCTTCGCGGAGTCACAGTGGCCGGAGGGTCTCTAGACCTGCATACCTGCTCGTGTGGTTGCAAGTACTGTAATTGCGGTTATACGTTATACGTGATTATGTGTACAGTTACCTTATTGGTTACCTCTGGCTACTGAGTCCCCTGATCCTTTACGTGGAGTTGTGTTGCGCTCGTTTTGGGCAGTCCTTCCATCTTTCAGGGTACCAAAGAGGGCTCGCGTGCAGTTCCACCTGAGCATCATCTCCCGAATTAGTACGTTCCTGTCATCATCGGAAGCCATCGGAATCCCTTCTCAAACAACCCAGGCATCGTGGAGTTCTTGACCTCGCTGATCTCGGACGCTGCGTTGAGCGCCGTGAACCACGGCTTGGGTGACCGGGCGGCTGAGCTCCGGGCGGCCGCCGGAGGCCTGCTCCGTGGCCCCGACCCTGACATCGCCAGGGTCATGCAGGAGGGCTTCAAATGGCTTCAATGTGGGGGGTTTAGGGGTTTAGGGCTTTGGAGCTTAAGGTCTGATGTGAGGGAATCTGAGGCTTGTTTGGCCTGACATACATGTTCCAGGTGATTCCATTCCTTTCTCACTTTCTTGCGGGAGGCGTGTCCCTTCGCTAGGACCATGGTCTTTTGCTTTTGTCCAACTGCTTTTCTGCAGGACTTCCCGCAACTGGGCACCCTGGATGCGTATGCAAAGGCTCAGCGCAGCCCCCTGTTTTTCCTGCAGCTGGCTGCTCCCCTATGGATGGCAGCCACCATCGGAGAGGAGTCTTTGCGCCAGACACTCGAGGATTACCGCAACCAGGAGGCCACAACGCAAGCTGAGGGAGTTCCCTTGCTTCGAGTGGCTCTCCACACGCCGGTCATCTACAAGTCTCCACAGAAAGGTGCCTGTCTTCGCATAAGCCTTCCACTTTCACTGAGCCTAGATATGACTTTCGCTTCCCTTTTCATGCACACATGCATATGTGCATATACAATGATGGGTAGATCGATCGGCGGAGGTCAGCATGCACGTGTATGCAGAGCATATGCATAAGATGGATTCGTACGCACTGTGAATGTGTACAAATGCAAGTGTCATGTTACATGCACGCCGACTATACAGCATAGACACTGCATCGAGGCGGACCCCAAACAACGGCAGACCAGGTGTAGACATGCGGATGCACTCCGCCCTGCCGAAACGCGAGTGCGTACGCACATGCACCCGGGCTTCTTGCCGACGGAGCTGCAGCCTGCCACTTTCGTTGATTCCAGGGGCCCGCGACGGAAATTGTCTTCAGCGTGCTGCTTCGCAGCAACAGTGACGGCGTGGATTCAAGTGCCAGCGCATGCGTTGTGGCCGCTTCAACGAAAGGCGAGGCAAGCGCAGCACCGCAGCGAGAAGCGAGGCATCCGAGGACACAGCGGTGTGCTCCGCACGGCACTCGCGAAGACCATGGCGGGAGCCGCAGAGGCAAAGAGTTTTTGTGCAGACCTACACCTCTCTGCCGCCAACAAGCCGACCTGTCCAATGCACCTCGCTTCGAATTGACACACCATCAGCAAAGGTCTGTTACATGAGAATTCTGCTTCAGGCTTAGGCGCACATGTGTTAATAAATCTACTTCCATGGATGCTGGACATAACAATTTTCGGACAACCACGATAAGGTGAAAGCATCTAGTCGCCAAAATGGGTCCGGAAAGGGAACCAGCTGTTTGTTTCGCTGTTGTTTTTGCTGTCGTGTCGCCTGTATGTCGCTGCGTTGCCGTGGTTGTCGTTGGTGTTTATCGCGGTCCTGGTCGCTTCTATGCTTTTCCGAGGGAAATGCACAAAAAAAAGCAAGGGTTCCCGAGCTCGAATCCTGGACGAAAAGCGGAATTGAAGTTTTCCCGCTGTGTGTGCGCGCTGTTGTTGTATGTTGTTCGGTTGTTTGTGCATGATGTGGTTGCTTTCTGTTCGCCGTAATGCTGCTTACATGTTGTGTTTTGGTTGTTCCTTTTCTTGTTTGCTTGTGTTTATGTTGGCTTGTTTTCGCATTCGAGAACAATTATTTCTAATGATCCTCAGAAGTATCTTGCAAGCGCGGTTGCTTTTCCGGTCTAAATCGAGTTACCTTTGCATGTGCGTCCGGGCGTATGTCCATATTTGCGTATCTGTGCATGGCTGCACGTATGTATGTGTTCACATGCCCATGCACGTGTGTATGTGGGTGGGTGGATAGATGAGTAAATCGGTCGGTCACTTGGTGTAAGGGTGAGTGTATTTATCGTGACTGACTCGCTCATTCGTTTGCATCTATACACACATATGCATATGTACGAGAAAATGTCTTGTAGAGACTAACATACATGCATACACATATACACACGTGGATATACGTACGTGTGCATGTCTGCGTATTCATAGTTGCTCAAACTCTTGTACGCAAGCAAGGCTGAAGATTTCTTGAAAGCCTGTTTAGTTTGTGCTTTTGTGATGCTTGATGCTACTAGGCCCTGACCCACCCGCAGCGCACCTGGCCCCTAACAGCAGTCCTCTCCCAGGTGGCAAATTATTTTGTGGAGCCATCCTCATGTTCGTCCTAGAACATGTGCAGTATCTGGACAGCACGAAAGTTGCAGTGGCTCTGGAGCATCTGCTGGAGTTCCAGGCGGAGCCAAACTCAACCTACGAGATGTTCCCGATTGGAATTAATTGTGCGATTGGACATTTCTCTGCACTTTGCTTGACTGGGAAGAATCCGCCCATGGTGGAAGCGCTGCTGGAGAAGCGCGCGGACCCTCACCGCCGGAACCTTCTAAATTATTTTCCATCCGGCTCGCCTCTTTGGACAGCTGCTCCACGCCTGCACCATCTCCTAGAGTCCCTGTAACCACTGAAACTCTAAACCCCTGTCTTCCGAAAGGCTCCAACTGAGCTTCCGAATCGGGTTCGCTCTGTTTGCTGTCGGAGCAGAGCGAAGAGCTTCTGCCTGTGGCTTTCGTGGACCGTCCGAGCCCAGGTTTGGCGAAGGCAGAATTTCGCCATCAGAAAGCTGCTTGATGCAGCTGACACCAGCGAAGGAGGCGCGCGGTCAAAGCAGAAAGCTCGAAACATGTCATGTGGAGTTGATGGGTCTCGGGCCTATCTATCTGGAAAGAGAGACCTCGACAAGAAGGTATAGTTACGGGCATCCGTTGACATCATTGCTTGAACATAAAAGAATCCTGAAGTTATCCTCCCCAGTCGATACTGGTCCTTCAGAGAGATGTCAAATGCGCGCTGTCTATTTCTGCGCCGAGGCACAGATGCTGAAGGAGTCAACCGGCATGGGTGGCATCCTGACCGTGCTCCCCTGGTGCCTTGGCATGGTCTGCCCTGCAAGGGTCTTCCATATGGCGATTGTCATGACGAGTGTCTAATTCCAGTCCTTGCCGTTTGCCGTGCTGTGGTTTCCGGTATGACACGGGGGTTCTCGATGGTTAGGCACGGGAAGTCTAGCACTAGAACGACATGTGAACCCCCATAACCCTCAAACCAGCTTGATGAAACACCAAGGCGGCCAAGACCTCTTGAAACGAACTTCCCGAACCCCAATAGTTCAAGGTCGAGGGGCTTTGGGTGAAATGTCCTCGTGGCTCGGAGGTGGTTGGCCAGAGAGCGCAGGGCTACAACGTCCTCGAGCTGGCGAGCTTGACGATGGGCCTGGAGCAGGCAGGAAGACATGTCCGGACGTCCCCGTTAACGGATTCATTCAATCAAGCGGAAGAAGAGGCTTCAAGGCCCTGTTCTTCAAGCAAGTCTTCTGGGTTCAACGCGGACCTTTATTCCAAGTGAGTGCAGGGGTCAGAAGGGTGGTGGGATTCCAGCAGTACGTACCTGCTTTGGAGATGTCGGGTGTGGCACTTTTGCCATGTGTCTGAAGCCCCGAACTCGTAAAGACTAAAGCTCGCACACAACGCCACACATCCTGTAACACGCTTGAGGGAAAGGGCATGGAGGGAATAACCTGAGCTTTGGTTTCGCAGCGGCTTAAGGTTCAGGAGTTTATTGTTCCACTTATCGTCACTTCGAGGAGCTCTTAGCAATGCTGGCACAAGTTGTTTCGTATCGCGTTGTGCCACAGGATGGCTGCAGTAGGCCAGAGTCATCCGAAATGAACCGTAAACGTCATTTTCGGGCATGTTCCATTGTCGACATCACGTTGGATAATGCTTGCCAACCCTAAACCCAGAAACCCTAACCGTCTATCCATCCACAAAACACCCCCAAATGCTCGCCTCCACGTTGGGAGGTGAAGCTTTTGGTCGAGAGAAAGGCGATGCTTGGAGACGAGCTTCCCCACGTCCTGGCCCGGGTCGAAAACTGGGGAGGGATAGATTCTTAAGTTTAGGACATGGAAAGCGCTAGGGAGGAAGAGGATGTCGTCTCAGAGGTGCAGCGCAGGGCTCTGAGACCCCCAGTCGCGGTTCCGGCTTCTTTGGGTGCGACCCTAAAACTACTTAAACAAAGTGGGCCTCAGCCAATACACCATGGTCCGACCGACGGCTTGCTATGGGGTGAGGAACACCCGAAGGGCCTCGCTTTGTCGGACCCGGGCCCCAAAACAGAGCCTTCCCGAAGAATTGAGAAAATTGAAAACAGCCTCGAGAGCTCCGCTGCAACGGACCGGGACCCAGCGGGGGGGGGGGGGGGGGGGCGCCTAGCCTTTCCTGCACCTGTAACGGAAACAAGTTATGAAGATCTCGCGGCCCAGCTTCTCGCTTTCCTTCTGTCAAGTTCCAAGCAGGCGTCACTTGCTGGCATGGTCCGTGTACTGCTTCAGCGTAACTTCTTCAATGCCTGGAGCCCGTGGCAATGCTTCGCAACTTCGCCCAGCGTAAGCAAAATTCACCTCAAAAGCTAACATGTTATGGCAGCAGACTTCTCGCCACTCCGAAGACCCGTTAACTCCCTCAGAAATGTGCGCTTGACCCTCCCCTCCAGGCAAACTGCCCGGCTGCAACGGCCAGAGTCTTGTCGCAGAGCCTCGAATGCATTGCTAGATGGTGCTTTCCATTCACAACCCACGTCCGGCAGCTTTGAGAACTTTGGCCTGGGGTGAAGCTTTTGCTCTATGAAGACGGATTACCCGAGAGCAGTTGTCATGGGGTACCAGGTTTGTCATGGCTACTGTTGCGATGCGAGTTATCCTGTTCCCGTGACATGCTGTTGGTCGGACGTCCGGAATAGATTAGCACCACACTCATAAGCCGCCACATAGGAGACGATCAATCTGCTTATAGGCGTTCAACGTTGTTGGTCTGAACCCTGTTGTGCCTGGAACGTACCGATCAGCGTTGCTTTGTCTATCTCCGTCTTATCTTCCTGTACTGTCCTCCTTTGTCGATCGTGTTGATGTGCTGGCAACTGTCACATCCCAGGGCAGAGTGTTCATTACTTACTAAAGTGGCCCATCTTTTCTTAAAGCTACATCTGTTGTCATGCCTTTCGGCTGTCGGAACTGATGCAATACGGCTCATAACTCATAAGCAGTTAATTTCCGCAAGAGCAAGCCCGTCATCAGCAGTTCCTGGCTGGCAACTGGTATTGTGTTGTAAGTTTGTCTTTTCACAGAAACACAGCGGCTCTCAGCAGGCTTGCTGTGACAATTGCTACGAACGATCGCTGGATCCATCATGACTTTTAGCCCGTGTATGCCTGGTCAACAAAACCCAGAGCCAGGCATGTCTTCTGCACTGCAGCGCATGCCGCTAGCATTGTCAACGGCAGTGCGCTGGACCAGATGAACGGCATGAGGCACATACATAACCGAGTGAAGCGGAAGTTTTCGACTTTGGGGCTTGCTTTCAGGGGCCGTTCATCTACATAGATCGTCTATGCAAAGGTTCCCGTTCTTCGGAAAGGGTTCCACCTCTCTTTCACTCGAAGATTTGCAGACGGCTGAACGGCGTTTGCGGGCTGGCGGCAGTATGGGGCAGCTTGGAGTACTAGTAATAGTACTAGTACTAGTACTAGTACTACTACTACTACTACTCCTCCTCCTCCTCCTCCTGCTGTTGTTTCCTTGGTTGCCTGCTGGTATGATTATCATTTGGTTGCTTCAAAAAGGACTGAAAGAAACGGCCAATTCCTGCAACGCCCGCGTACAGCCGGACTCTAGTTCTTTGTTGCTTCGCGGCCTGCAGGCTAGAGCTCGTTCTTCGCGAGGTGCTGTGGCTTGGCATCTTCGGTGGCTGCGTCTGCTTGATTTTCGCCAGCGCACAAAAGGAAAGGCAGGCTCCAGGAAGAGGCCTCAAAACTTTCAAAACCCTGAACCCCAAACCGTGGGCCGCGCCAACTGCTTGAACCCACCGAACCCTGAGCCCAGGAAACACGAGGAGCCAAGGGCCTGCCTGGAGAAGGCGGGAAGCAGTGTCGGTGGCGCAATGAGGCGAAAGAAAAAGGAGTCGGCAGAATATAGACTAGAACTCCCTCATATTCTAGTCCCCGTCACTATGCTCATTGTATTCTAGACCATGCTGCTATCTCCCAACACCCTATTCTATCCATTGCGGTCCCCATATTAAAAATGGTTGAGGTCTTAGTCTTAGCTGCCAGCGTGAAGTGTCTCCATATCCTTTAATTCTATCCAGATTTTGAGGTCCCTCTCAGAGTTCAGGTCATGTCAGTGGCTCCCGTTTCCGCGCACTTCCTGCATCCGCTGTTTCGAAGGGGCTCTGCTCGCTCTGCGGCGGGTACTGGGGCTTCCCAACTCCCATTCAAAGCCCCTCTGAAGTGGGGCTTCGGGGCCTCAGTCAGGCCATTTTCAAGGCCTCCGAGGTCGAGAAAGTGGAGCAACATAAGCAGAGGAGGTGGCAGCTGAAGCGCCGCGGCTTTGGGCCTTAGGGCCCTTCAGGGTGTTCTGAGAGGGTGTTCAGGGTGGAAGTTAGGTTTAGGACCGGGACAGTCTGGGGGGGTGTTCAGGGTGGAAGTTAGGTTTAGGGAGTTTAGGGGCGATGTTGCAGCTTGTGTTTGGGGTTTGGGAACGGGTCGAAGGCTCTTTCGTCGGCCAGGTGTCAATGCTGGAGGCTAGAGTTGATACTACAGCGGCCATGGCTGATGACCTTAAGTATGTTTTGGCTCTCAGCAGGCCGAACCAGGGTTTCAAGCTTAGTTCTTTTTGACGCTCAACAAGACCCTTGGCCCGAATCTGAGTTTTCAAGTTTCATATGTGGCTCTCATTACACGAAGCCCTTGGCCCGAAACAGGGCTTCAAGTTTTGAATGGCGTGGCTCTCGACGAACAAGGTTGCTTTCAACAAACCCTTGGCCCGAATCTGATTTTCAAGTTTCAGATGTGGCTTTCGGCAAACCCTTGGCCCTAAACAGGGATTCAAGTTTCGCATGTTTGGACTCGCAAGAAACCATTGGCCCGAATCTGGACTTGCTTTGAGCTTTGCGGTTTGATATGGGTCATGATGGTCATGATGCTGTCGACGATTTCTCTGAAGGTCTTTAATTTTGAAGCTTGCGAAGATTTGTGTTGCTACCATGGCTGTGCGTTACGTCCCGTTTCAATGGATTCTTATTCCAACAAATAGGCTCACTTCTGATGGCCACATCGGTACGATCAGATACTTTGGGCAGGGAAGGTGAGCTGCAAGCAGGGCTATGCGGCGGTAGTCGCACTGGCGATGCTTAGAATATGACCCCAACCACCCAACTATCAATCCACCTACGGAGTCCACAGATCCTCGGACCCATCCGAGACATAACGAAGCCTTCTATAGCCAGCACAGATATGGATTGCGATGCTGAGTTTTTTGCCCGAGGAACCCACAGAGCTACAAGGAAATGATGGAAGCTTTGATAAAGGCCTGACGGTGTCCCACTCTGGTAGGAGAGTGACGTTCAGAGCCCAAGATGCATGCAGGCAACCTCATCTTACACCCTCTGGCAGCTGTGTAATCTCCCAAGATCATCTCGGGTGAGATTCATAAGCTCGGGGCTCGAATAAAGTCGGGGAGTGGGTCTGGGGCGTACAGTATCCAGAGGTGCAAGATTGTATAGTTCGCAGATGAGTGTTTGTGTCAATGAAAAGCACAGCACGTCGCCGGGGTTGACAACTTGTTTCAAGCCCCTGGAACTCAAAGATCAGGACTTTCTAGGAGCCAAAGACGAACTGACCTCCTTTTTTTCCGCCTTGCAAAACTCTCCCCGACAAGTACCGCTCCACCTCGGTGGACACTAGTACAATCACTACGATAAAGTTGCGGCCTCTCTGCTTGGAAGGCCGTCGGTTTGGTA